CGCCCTCCGCACCCAACAGTGAAAATCAAGAATAAAGAAGAGGGCGCCCGGCTCTTCCTTCTCAGGCTGGCGTTGGCGCTCTCCATTTCCGAGTTCCCCTTCCTCATTTCCATGCCTCATCATCTGCCGTGCCTCAGTTTCCCCTGTGATGCACTCAGGAGCTGCCTCTCACCAGGGCTTAGTTTTGGGAGGTCCTGGGATCGGAACGCAGGTCCCACCAGGCAGCCACATTGTTCAGATGGGGTCTGGACGGCGTGCCCTAGCCAGTCCGGACTGAGATCCTCCTGTCCAAACATCCTGAGATGACCGGCATATTCCACCAGACCCCGATGCTGGCTGAGAGGAGGCATTGCGAACTTCTGGCCCAGGCTGGCCTAGAACCTTGGTCCTCCTGATAGTAACTGGGGTGTGTGAGACCCTGCCTGGCGTCTCTAGGCTTTGTGCTGCTGTCTCCTGTGGTATCGGGTGAATTTTACATCCAGGTCTGAGATATATCTGAGCTACTGTGGTGATGAGCAAAAGCATGGGCCTAGACTTGTTCTGGTTTTGTTCCTGTGGTTTCTGGTGAAGGGAAGCTTCAGATTTTGTTGTGGTTTCCCTAGAAGGCAGATTTGGTACTGAGGAAGGAAGACTGGCTGTTCTCAGCCAGGAGTTCCCTCAGCCCTCAGCCTCCTGCTGGGCGGCCAGGCCCCTGGAGCCCCCCCCATCCTTGCCTCCACCGCCCAGCAATGGCCTCCGCCTGCCCGGGGCTCCCCGCCTGCTTTCCCACCACCTTCTTCCCCCGATGAGTCTCAGAACATGCATTAATAGCAAAGGTTATCACCCATAGTAAAGTTCACATAGAAAGGCACACTCCCAGGTGAAAGTGGGGGGGGGCTGGGGGCGGCGGCTGAGGCCCTCCCCAGGCCTGGGCTGCGCTGGACATTACAGGGGTGGGGAGCAGGCAAGCCCCTCCCCAGGCCGGTCCACCGGCAGTGAGTGACACGGACGGTCAGCGGGTGTGGAGGAGCCTGTGGGGCCCCTCGACCTGCCCCACGGGTGGGAATTTACAATCCAGTGAGATAAAGGCAATGATGGAAACAACACGACCTTAACCCAATCGGACTGCAGTTTGGACAGGGTTGCACTCCAGAGCCAGGCTGCTCTGGGAGCTGGGGGTCACGAGGAGTATTTCACAACCAGGATGAGGCATCCAGGCTGCAGCTGCGTGTGGAGAGGTTTAGCCTGGGGCGCAGGAGCCAGGAGGTGAGGGGTGAGGGGGCTGGGACGGGCTGCTTAGCCCCCGGGAAGCCGCGCCCAACCAACCCAGCCTTCTCCATTCCTGGACCTCTACCCAGCCAGCGCTGCCCTGAGCGGTGCAAGCGGACAGACCAGCGCCCTAAGTGCGCTGTGCAAACTCGCGGTTAGAGGACAGCAGCCTCCATGCAGCCACCTGATGCCACTGACGCCACTGACCGCTGAGCCCACAGACCGCTGAGTGCTGAGCGGAGCTGGGAGGGAGGGAGGGAGGGCTCAGAGAGGAGGCCTGAGATATTACCCTGCATCAACCAGCATTTGCTAGGCGGTGTGCAAGCTCTTGCTTTGTTAATGCATTAAGTTTCATTTGTTGTAATTTGACGCTTCAATTTTAATTTTTTACCTTTTTGCGGTTTTGGTGCTGGACTTTGAACTCAGGGCCCTCTTGCGAGGCGAGCGTTTGCCCTGTTGGGCTGCCACTTTGCTTTAGTTTTCTTCAGGTTTTGCCCAGGGCTGTCCTCCGACAGCCATCCTGCCTGTGGCCTCTCCCCAGCTGGGTCCCGGCCAGGCCCCACTCAGCTTGTGGCTGGGATGGGCTCTCACTGACTTGCTGCCCTGCTCATCTCCAGCAATACCCTCCCAACCCCTGCCCTCTCAGTAGCTGACGGTGAGTCTTTTTAAATAACACTTAGCTTAAAGCACAAACAAAATATATGTAAGGCACCACACACACACACACACACACTTTTAACATGGCTCTGGGGTTTGAACTCAGGGCCTCAGATTGCTAGACAAATGCTCTACCTCTTTTTTTTTTTTTATTGTAAAGATACTATACAGAGGGTTACAGTTACTTGAGTGAGGTAATGAGTACACTTCCTCTTGAACATTGTTAGCCCCTCCATTGTTTTCCCCCTACCATCCCCTCCCTCCCTCCCTTCCCCGAAGTTCTTTTTTTTCTACCTCTTGAGTCACACCCAAGCCCTTTTTGGTTTAGTTGGTTTTCAGATGTGGTTTCATACATTGGCCCAGTCCCCACAGTCTTCCTATCTCTACAATCCTCCTATCACGGACCCTGCAGTAACTGGGATTATAGATACTCACTACCATGTCCCGTCCAACATATGTATATATATATATATATATATCACGTATAAATAGCAACCATATATATAAATACACACATATGTATGTTTTATTTTTTGCTGAGCTTGGAATGTAGTTCAGTGGTGGAGTGTTCCTGAGTTTGCTCTCCAGCATGATTTAAAAAGGACAGAAATAGGAAAAAAAAACAAAACAAAACATCAAAAACCCTTCATATCCTTATTCTAGAAGGCTCTTCCTACTTTTTTTGTTGTTGTTGGTTGTGGGGCTTGAACTCTGGGCCTGGGCGCTGTCCCCAGCTCTTCAGCTCCAGGCGAGCGCTCTTTGAGCCACAGCACAACTTCTGGTTTTCTGGTGGTTTATTGGAGATAGGAGTCTCACAGACTTTCCTGCCCAGGCTGGCTTTGAACCTCGACCCTCAGATCTCAGCCTCCTGAGTAGCTGGGATGACAGGCGTGAGCCACCCGCGCCCGGCAAGACTTTTTGTTTTTTTTTTGGTCGGGGCTTTTGTGGGGCTTGAACTCTGGGCCTGGACACTGTTCAGCTCTTCCGCTCAAGGCGAGTGCCCTACCACTGGAGCAATGGCACCACTTCAGTTAAAACATAAAACACAACACACAGAGCCTGAGCCGCCGCGGGCCGCGCCCGCAGGTCCACCTCGCTCCCCAGGGACACCCTGTGCCTAGCCTGGCTGACTCGGGGCCAGCTCAGCACCTGCCTGCGGCTGCTGCACTCTCTTCTCTTTTCCTTCTTCCCTGGTCCTGAGGCTTGAACTCAGGCAGGGTGCTGTCCCTGAGATTTTTTTTTGCTTAAGGCTAGTACTCTACCATGTGAACCACAGCTCTACTTCCAAATTTTTAATGGTTCCTTGGAGATAAGAGTCTCAAGACTTTCCTGTCTATGTTGGCTTTGAACTGCAATCCTCACATCTCAGCCTCCTGAGTAGCTAGGATGATAGGTGTGAGCCACTGGCATCTGGCTCAGTTACTGCTTAATAAATATCAGGAGTGCAACTCTGGAATAAGATAAAAGTGCATTTAGTGTGGACATAAACCAGCAGCACTGTCAAGTGCTATTGCTGGACCGGGTGCCGATTTCTTAAGCGGTGGGCGGCGTGGCTGACTTGTGTATCCCAGCATGACGGTGATGGATGTGTGGTGCTGTGACCTTAGGACCACAGTGACTCAGTGGGTGTCTGTCAGGATGTCCCAGCTCCTAGGCCTCGAGGGAGCAGCTAGGGGTCCGCCCTCTGCCCTCGGCCCTCTGCCATGGCTCTGGTGCGGGCAGTGACCCCCTGTGACATCACAGGTGGTTTCTGTTGACAAGCCAGGGGTGGGCCAGGTGCTGGCGATTCTTCCTGAGTGCCTTTCCCGTTCTTCTTGTCTTTCGTCTCAGTAGGCTAACCAGGGGGCTGACGGGCTCTCCTCTCATTCCGCTCTGGACTTGGCTGGGCCTCTTGTGTCGGAGACTTGAGGGTCCCTACAGACTTCAGCACAACCTGCCTTGCCATGATTTTCTCCCAGGTGAGACAAATACGCAGCCTGGGCAGCAAAACGTGAAGTAGACGTCACCAAGAGGAAATTCAGGAGCGTCAGCAAAGGGGTGACACTGTTCAAAAACAAACGTGCTCCTTACCTGAGATGTAATGGTAACCCTCTGTACACCACCTTTATAATAACAATAAAAATTAAAAAAATTCAGGAGGCAATGAGCACATGGAAAGATGCTCAGGGTCACCAATCATCAGAAAACACCGTTACCCCCGAGGAGACACCTGCCACCATCAAAGTCTGCTTGATGCTCGCCTTGAGCTGAAGAGCACAGGGACTGCACCCAAGCCCAGAGTTCAAGCCCCACAAACAGCAAAAAACACCCCCAAACAAGAAACAAAGCCTGCTGGAAGGGTAGTAACTGACTGCAGTGCTGAGGGGCGTGGAGATGCAGCCAGTCGGACAAGTTTGTGGACAAAGACTCAGACAGAGGCAAAAAGAGCTCCTTCTTCAGCATGAATTTTAGTGTATACAGAAGGGATATATGTGGAGGCAGGTGCTGATGCTCAGTAGCTGTAATCCCAGCTACTCAGGAGGCTGAGATCTGAGGATTAAGGTTCAAAGCCAGCCCTGACAGGAAATTCTCTGGCATTCTTATCTCCAATTAACCAGCAAAAAGCCAAAAGTGGTGTGGCTCCAGTGGTAGAGCAAAAACGCCTAAGCAAGAGCAGGAGGCCCTTGGTTCAAGTCCCAGGACTGGCATGTGTGTGACATGCTGGAGTGCGCACACACACCAAACAAACCAACACATAGAAGGATCTCGGGGACGCGGCCCAGCCGAGCGGCGGCGGCCCAGCGAGGCGGGGTGTTTGTGAACATGTGTGGGCATATCCCACCGTGGGGTGTGATCCCCAGGTGTGACCATGGTGATCTGACCCAGGACCCTCATGTTTGGTGACGTAGGATGTGGACAATCAGAGCCAGGCACCTAGAAGGGTCCCTGAAATAAACTGCTTGAAGAAACTGGGTCCCAGGAATCTCAGATGGGGAGCTGTGGATTTCCAGTGCCTTCCTGTGCCCTGTCCCCTCCTGCCACCTACCAGAGTGTTCCTGGGTGCCAGCACCGGGGCAGGCCCTCCAGCCCTCTCTGTCCTCTGACCTGCCCCTGAGGGCCAGCGGTGCCCAGCTGCTCAGCCTGCCTGTCCCAGAGGGGCGGAAGTCCCCACGACAAACACTGTGGGCTCAGGAGAAAGGGACCATGGCCTCTTGCCCCAGGGGCCAGCTGCCTGGAGGAGGTGTTGGGAGCGGCTGGGCGGGGCCGTGGGGCTGTGGGCGGGGCCTGGGCGGGGCCAGCACTCACTCTAGGCCCAGCTCCTGCGCTCCTCTGCTCCATCCTCACTTGCCACTGCTGGCCAGCCAGAGGACCTGAGGACAGGTGGGGCAGCCGGGGCGGGCCGTGGGCTTGGCTGCGTGGGGTGGGGACGGGATGGGGGCTCGGGAAGGCGCTCCTCCTCTGGGGAGCTGGCAGGGCCTGGGCCGGCCCTGGAGGGGACGTCGGCTCGCGCCCAGGCCCAGCTTTGTCTGTGCACCCCTCAGCCTAGGTGAGCAGTTCCCCCGCCATGGCACCCTTTGTGATCATCCTGCTGGCTGCCCTACTGTGTGCAGAGAGAGGTGAGCTGGGGGGAACCCGGCCAGAGAGCTCAGGGTGAACTGGGCAGCTGGCCCCTGGGGTCAGCTGAGGGCCAGGCAGGGGAGGAGGCAGAAGCCTCTGGCCAGCAGCCCCACCGCCCCTCCCTCGGTCACCCAGGCAAGCCCTGACCCCCTCTCCTGGGCTGGGTGGTGGACAGGGCAGGACCCAGCCAGTGTGTCTGGATGGCCTGGCCCCTGCCCAGGCCCCGGGCGGAGGTGACCAGCAGGAGGGCCTCTGGCCTGTCCTTCTGGCCTCCCAGGCTGGTAGGAATGGGGTCGTGTGCGGGGAGGACCTGGGGGGGGGCCCTGCCTCACAGCCTCGGCCTCTCCCAGCTCAGAGTCTGCAGTGTTACCAGTGTGTGGGTGCCACCCAGGACAGCACGTGCAAGCAGTCCACCTGCCCCTTCCCCAAGGGGGTCTGTGTCACCCAGGAAGTGGGGATGGCTATGGGTGAGTCCGGGGTTGTGCTGGGAGGTAGGGCAGGGTGCGTCTGGGGTCACCTGGAGGAATGGCTACTCTGTGGGGCAAGTCCCTCCTTTCCAGTTCTCTGGAGTCTAGGGGCTTCTGGGGTCCCTGCCCCTCATCCTGCCAATGGGGTCCATCCCCCCACAGCCCACCCCCCTCACCAGGCTGGGGTGGGCTGGCTTGGGAAGAGCTGGAGCAGACTGCCCGTGGTCCTGTGCCCTGGCTGACCTCCCTGCCCCTCGTGGCCCTGTCTGCGGCTTGGCCAGGCTCTGTCTCTCCCCGTGGGCATGGGTGCAGAGACTCTCAGCCCTGGGACGCCAGGCTGAGCCTGCCTTGGGTCCTGGGGTCACAACTCCCCCCTTTCTTTTACAGGGTCTAGGAAAATGAAGAACAAGTTCTGCCTCCCTACTTGTCCGAAAGGGAAGAACATGTCCATCAAGAATATACCACTCATAGGCAAAATGATCCACTCAAAGACATCTTGTTGCAGCGAGGATCTGTGCAACTTGGGGGTTCCAGTGCAGGTCAGCACCTGGATGCTGGCAGGGGGGCTCCTGCTGGGCCTGGGGGTGGTGCTCCTCGGCTTCCAGCTGTGATGACCCTTCCTCCTCTCCCTCATAGCCCTCTTCTTTCCCAGTGGGTTGCCCGCTTTACAAGGAATTCTGCAGTGATGTGCAGCCCCAAGGCTGAGTGTTAAGTATCAATTAGCCTTGAGGGATGGGGTGAAGCAAAGGAGACCCAAGATGGAGCCGTCACAAGGTCTCTGAGAGAGTACACTGCAGGGAGATGTCTTCAGAGCCTGTCAGGCGGGGAATGGCACAAGATGAGTTATGTTTATTTTTCTATTTGTGCCAGTACTGGGGCTTGAACCCAGGGTCTGGGAGCTAGCTGTCTGTCACTCAAGGTTGGCTCTCTACTACTTGAACCACAGCTCCATTTCCTGCTTTTTGGTGGACTTTCCTGCCTGGGCTGGCTTTGAACTGTGATCGTCAGATCAGCAGGACTCAGAGTCCTGAGTAGCTGGGATTACGGGAGTGCTCGGCACTAAATGTACCTAATTTATGTAACTTATGCAACCCCTCTGTACAGCCCCTTTATAAGAACAATAAAAATATATAAAATGAAATCTTGTTTATTGAAGCATGAATTTTGTTGTTGTTATTGTGGTTGGGGGTGGTGTTTGGTTTTGGGGGGAGGGCAGACGGGGGCGGATGAATAAATCCGGTCATAGTGCTCTGCAGACACTGTGTGGAAAACAGCCTGTGTGACCCGTGTGGGGGGGTGGGGGGGCTGGGGGGGGAAGAGGAAGAACTGATGTTGTCCAAATTGGAAGAAATGTACTCACTGCTGGCTTACAGCACCTTCCTAATAACAATAAAATTATATTTCAAAAATAGCTCCTGGAATAACAGATCTTTAACCTACCTACCTAGGCAGGTAAAACAAGCAGTAGGACTCCAGTGTAATTCCCTAAGCCTCCCATATCCTGGAGTGAGTGCTGTCCTGAGGGCTGGGGGGAGGGGGGCTCAGCACCTCAGTAGGGGAGCCCGGGTGCCACCTCTGCCATACCCTCCCCCGGAGGTCTAATCAACTTTCCACTACACTCTGTGTCTTACAGCGTTCTTCTTTCCCCTCCGGTGCCAGCCGCCGCTCTGGTACTCGATGGAGAAGGGGTGGCATGCTCCCCACTAGGCCAGTTTCCTGGGAGGCCCGGCCTCCGCAGAGGTGGGGGCCATTCTTGGCTTCGCTGGAGTCCAAAGCTCCATCCAATGCCACCACTGTCCCACGCAGAGGGCCCAGGATTCCGAGGCCCTGCGGGCCTCCTGCACGGTCCAGGCCACCCTCCCTCCGAGGCCGATAAAGCCTCTGCTCACACAGCACTGGGACCTGGCTTTTCTTTTGCTGGGCTGGTCCCTGTCCAGTCACCCAGTCCCAAGGACTCAGCAACATTTTGCCAGTACTCTGGCCATCTTCTCCCAAGTACGCCTGGGCTGACCTGCCCGGCCCTAGCGTCCACGCGGGGCCTTGTTGCGCTGCTGTAGAGGCCCCATCCCAGAATGAGGCTGCGGTCCACCCCCACCTGCCATCCCACCCCTCCCTCTGCTCAGGGGTGTCCCCACAGCCAGGAGGGAGCGCGTCCCCTGGATGTAGGAGCCAGGGCCTCCCTCAGGACTGATGCTTGGGGCAAATAGTGGGTCCCCCCAAATCTTCCTTGAGCACCTGCAGTGCAGGGGAGATGAGCCAGGGGGAGCCAAAATGGGAGGGGTCAACCTGGGGGTCCCATGGGGGCGGGGCTGCCCTTGCGGAAACCTAAGCACTGGTCACCAGCAGGGCCAGGCTCAGATGCACGTGCATCCTGTGTCCGGGGTCCTGGTCCTGTGCTGGCTCCCCATGCTGGCCAGCGTGCCCAGAGGCCACCATCCTGAAGCCTTTAGTGTATATCCCAAATGTTAGTTAAAAATAACTTTATCTGAGATTCTCATTTAACAGCGTATAGTGTTGTTTGTGAGTGTGAAACCCCGTAAGTGAATGAGGGGCTAACTGCCTACCCCCTTCCACAGGCAGTCCCCACAAATGGGGTTCACTCCTGGGCCTGCGTCCTGGGCTCGGGAACACCACTGTCCACCCTCTAGGGGCGCCAGAGAGCTGCGCTCTTGTCCGAGGTTCTGATTCCCAAAGGCAGAGCTGGACACCCAGTGGGGTCAGCCCTGGGAAGCCCCCATCCCACCCTAAGCCCCCAGGCCCAGGCCTGAGGTTCATTAGGATCAGAGTGCGAGAGTGTGGTAAGAGCCATTGTCAGAGCCTGTCAGGGAGGATACCGCAGCTTCTTCACGTGCTGGCGGGGGTGGCTTTGTTGTTAGAATGAGTTATAATGACTAAGTTTGTTACTGAGGCATCTGGTCAGGATGGAGCTGGTCAGGAGTCCTCACCACTGGGGAGAGTATGTTCTGTCCCTTAGCTTTTCACTCAAGTCTGGTGCTCTGCCAATCAAGCCAGGGCTCCGCTTTCAGCATTTTGGTGGTTAAGTGGAGATAAGAGTCTCACGGCCTTTCCTGCCAAGCTAGCTTCCAACTCTGATCCTCAGATCTCAGCCTGAGTAGAAAGGATTACAGGTGTGAGCCACTGGCAACCAGTTCACTAGTGGTGGTGGTGGTGGTGGTGGTGTGTGTGTGTGTGATTGCGAGTCAATAACTCCTTGTGCATTTTCCAAGTCCAACAATTCAGGTTTGCAGTTTCAGTAGAAATAACCTGTAAATGACATTGAATAGCTCCTTTGCATGGGTCAAACTTCTGTTACTTTTTGAAAAGCCTACCAGGCACCTGTGGCTCATACTTGCAATCCTAGCTACTCTGGAGACTGAGCACCGAAGGATTGGCATTTGAAACCAGACGGGGAAGAAAAGTTCAGGAGACCATGGATTCACCCACGGCGGGGTGTGGGGGGCATGCTACTCGATGTGGGAGGCTCCGACTGGGGAGCCACAGCGGTCAGGCAGCCCTGCCAAAGACTCTGGAGATTCCATCTCAGGAGGAAAGAAGCAGACATGGGGCAAGCCACTGGCTACAACCAGGAAGCCTCAACTAGGAGCAGCCTCAGCTGCTGGCACAGGCGCCGCCTGTTGGCAGACCCCTCCCTCTGCCCTTCCCCCACAGAGAGGCCTGGCCTGGTCTCAAAGACCAAACCTCTAGGCTGAGTTTGGTGACTGTTGCTCTCCCAGCTCCGTCCAGGCTGTGGCTTCAGGATACAGGCCCAAGAGGTCACCCTGCCTGAGGGCAGGCTGCGGTGGATCTAGGTCACAACCCCGAGGACCAGGACAGGAAACTCAGATGCTCCTAAGCACCCTTGGGAGTCATGATGAGAAGCTGCCGGAGCAGTCCTTCCTCTCGCAGCCCTGGCCGCAGCTGCAGCTCGGTCCTCTGCTCACCGTGTCCTGAGCAGGACATCACAGGTGGGGGAGGGGGGCCGAGGGGGGCGGCTGGCTGGAAGGCAGCAGGAAGTATGGCTTTCTATTTGTCACATCACCGTCACCCCTGAGCGGATACAAAGGTGGGGGGGAGCACTAGGAGTCATAAGACAGAAGAGCGCTGGAGGGGAGTCTGCAGGAAGTCCTCTCAGGCTGGAAGTCACGTCCCTCCAACACCAGGGAAAGACCCCACTCCCCCTGGATCTGGAGGGTCCGGGGGGTGGGCTACAGGAGGGGAGGACAGGGCTTGCCACTCCTTGGCCCCACAGACTGGCCTGGGTCCACCCTGCCCTGTCTCCCTTCCTGTCCAGAGGCGTCCCCCTGACCTGCCGCACTTGGCCTCCCCCCACGCAGCTGTTTCTGCCAGAACGCTAGACCTCCCTCACCACCCCTCACCTCTTTATGTGCATCCTGGAGCAGGTGGCCAGGACGTGTGGAGCCCCTAGGGTTGGGCCTTTAGCCCGGAAGCCTTGTCGCATGCTCAGCACTGCCGGCCTCAATCGGAATGTGCTGAGGAGGTCAGAGGCCTCTGTGTGGCCCCAGCTGGGCCCTGACTGAGAGCGGCCAAACCCACCTTCAGGCCTGGGACTGGGCTGCCCAGTCCCCCTAGCCCGGCCTGGGCACTGTGCTTCTCTGTCCTGCCCTCCTGTCACGTGGAGACTGGAACTGACCTGATGTGGCCACGGTCCTGCCCTTGGTGAGCCCTAAACCAGACCCAAGACCTGAACAGGGGCACAGGGAAGAGGCGCAGGCCCCAGCCCTGCAGAGAGAACGTGTGGCCGCTGCTGCGGGTGTGGCACTGGCCCACCGTGGGCACCGGGCAGGGTCTGCTCTGGCTGGGTCCCTCGGTGTCCCACCACCGCCAGGGCCCTTGCCGAGGGTCAGCAGAGCCAGGGCGCTGTCTTGCCTGAGGGAAGGCCAGCCAGCTGGGCAGGAGCCTCCTTGTCTGCGCTCTGAGGCGCGTCCCTCCAAGAGGGCCAGGTGCCGTGCCTGGGTCCTGCGTGGTTAGACTCAGGTGCGGAGGCGAGGGCGCCGGCCTGCTAGGAGAGCTTCTGCCACAAGGGGGCGCACAGGGCCGCCTTGCACCCAGACTAGGTCAGGTCCTGCACTCAGACCCCGCCCTGCCCTGCACCCAGATCCCGCCTCACCCAGACCCCTCCTTGCCCTGCACCCAGATCCCGCCTCACCCAGACCCC